TGACGACATGAATGGAAATCCTGCTAAGTGATTGTACTTTTAATAAAATGGGATTCTGCCATGGATTATGATTTTAATGATTTTAATAGTTTTATTGTTTTCAATGTATTTAATCATTTTTATGATTATTTTGGTTGATTTTGTATTGCTTTCTGGGTTTTTATCTTAGTAAACTACCCAGAGTAGTGAATAGTGAGATGGGTGGCAGTATGCATTTAATAAACAAATAAACTAATGTCTCTGAAAGAATTAGTTTGTTGTAAATTATTTTACAGCCAAATGAACAAGATGGACCATTATAAGAACATTTTTATTGTTAAGAAATTAGAGAAACTGCCTATCAGCATGATTCGGATGCATTTAACTTATCCTACAAATACTGATTTATAAAATGTAGATAATAGTGGCAAGATTCTTCTGTTTTTTCTCAGTTTATTTGACTGAATTCTATTTTATGCCAACATTGCATTTTCTGGATACAAATCCTTAATATTGCAGAAATCATTTTCTTTTGAAGCAATTTGAAGGGTTTTTTATTTTTGCTTAAAAATTAACTCACCCTCCCACTCTTGTCTGGTATCCAACCAAAGGAAGTTGAGGGAGTAAAATTTTGGCAAAATATTATCAACAATATTCCAGAATTCCTAGAGTAGCTTTGATTAAAGTCATTCCATAGTGTGTGCTAAGACCACACTTGGTTGTGAGTGGGAGCAAGTTTAAATCAACGACTATAGGAAAGTTGTTTCAAGTGTAAAAAAGAGTGCATTAGTGCTTCAGTGTCTATAAAGTGAAAAAAAAATCTTTGCGCTAAATACTACTGAGAACATTTAGTACAATGGAGCAGTATAGTTCAATACAAAGGCCAAGGGTTGAATTCACATTTGGACCTCTTCCTTATACAAGTCCAACACCAACCTAAGGTCAGGACTTCTCTTCCTCTGGTATCCCCATTCCTATCATCTTGGAGTTTGTGTCAGCCTTGGGAAGCTAAGCCAATTAATTATAGCTTGGCTCCTGCTCCATAAGAGATGCTGTGAAGGCAGTTTTGCAAAGCTTCCTTTGGAACTGTGAGGTGGCCAATTGTCCATTGGCAAGAATTCCCACTTAGTCTCACCTCCCAGATCCTGTGGCTGCCTCCTTCTTCTTTCCCACCATTCTCCACCATTCTTCAAGCAACAGATTTGTCCCTCCCTCTGTATAGTGATTCCTTTAAAAAAAATGAGGGGGGGAGTTCAATATTTTTTCTTCATCATATCAAGAAATTGTGAGGAGAGAAAACAAGGAATGAGAGTATCAGTTGGTCCTAGCTTATACTATTCCCTCACTGGCTGGCTTAAATGGAGGACTGAGGAGGACCGTGCAAAGCATAGGTGTTACTTAGGGGAGGAACTAGTAGACCTATGGATAAATGTGGTTACTTTCTATGGACCGAATGATGTTAATAGCTTGTTTTAAGCATACCTAAATATAGACCCCTAAAATAGACACCTTTTATTGGATCAGATCTAAGTCCATCCAGACTAGCATTATATCTGACTCAGATGCTTTTCAGGGACAAAACATGAAATGATGGGCTTCACTCCTTTTTCATATTTTGTTTTTAATAATATGTTTTTAGAGATCTACTTTGTAGTGCATTCAGTTATTTTTATGATCAGTTGGGTAAGCATGCTTGTAATCTTGTACTGCTTGATTACTACACTACTTGTAAGTAGATGTGAGAAATCTTACAAAATCACTGGACTCAGTTCTTATATCAAAGCAAAGTGCAGGAAAATATACTTGTGACTTGAGTAATATTTGTTGCTCAATAAAATTATACATCTTTTCCTGAGTGTTTTGGAAATCAAATGATGTTTCTAGCTAAATAAAATAAGTTAGTTTTTAGTTAGTTCTTAGTTGGTCCTCAGATCAATTATTTCTGTAACAGACAAAAAAAAATCATACTCACAGTGTTCTATTCAGTAGTCCTTAATTTACGACCATAACTGATCCCAAAATTTCCATTGCTAAATGAGACAGTTGTTAAGTGAGTTTTGCCCCATTTTACAACCTTTCTTGCCACAGTTGTTAAGTGAATCATTGCTGTTGTTAAGTTAGTAACACGGTTGTTAAGTGAATCTAGCTTCCTCATTGACTTTGCTTGTCAGAAGGTTGCAAAAAGGGATCACATCACCACACGACACTGCAACTGTTGTAAATATGAGTCACATCCAAATATAAATCTCATGACCATGAGGATGCTGCAATGGTCATAAGTGTGAAAAGGGGTCATAAGTCACTTTTTCAGTGCTATTGTAACTTCGAACATTCCCCAAATGAACTGTTGTAAGTCGAGGACTACCTTAAAGGGCTATGACATACCTAAAAGGAATAGTTTGTAGAGAAACAGCCAAAATTGTCTAGGCCAGTGGTAGAATTCAATTTTCTTTACTTCTGGTTCTATGGGCGTGGCTTGGTCGGCGTGGCAGGGGAAGGAGACTGTAAAATCTCCAGTCAGAGGTGGTATTTGCTGGTTCTCCAAACTACTCAAAATTTCCGCTACCGGTTCTCCAGAACTGGTCAGGACCTGCTGAATATCACCTCTGGTCTAGGGGCTTATGGTAGTTGAGTAATGTCAAGGCATTTCTAGGGACTTTTTTTGTTTATGTGTGCTGAAGAACCTTCTGCTGGAGCTTCCGAGGAAACATCTGGATGGAAGAAATCAGACCGTCTCCATCTTTCATTTGGAGGCACCAATGTGGAGCTTTTTCCAGCCAAGGAATATCTTCAGAGTAGGTTGTTCCACTACTAGAGTCAAAGTCTGCAAAGCCGATTTGGCATCACAAATTGAGTGAATAAGTGAGGGGATGAACTAATGAATGAAAAATCCAGCTTGTCACTTTCTCTTACCATGTGACTATCATTACACTTTGGCACAGTTCAGTCATAAGCATTCAAAGCCTGAATAAATGCCTGAGCCAGGAGTGAAGCTGTTTTAAGTTGCTTCGCACTGCCATGCACACCAGCTTAGCTCACCCCCTGATGTCCACACAGGCAGCATAGTGTGCAGTGAGGAAGCCTCCACGCATGAGGCTGAATAGTGCTTTTGTGGGCATTTCTTCTTCCCCATCACTAGCCAGAACAACACAAACTATTACACAGTTTCCCTTTAGATTTCAGGCAAGCCTTTTGAAATGTGGGAACTGGAGTGCAACGGCCGTGTCAATATTTGTTTTCCAAATGAGAATTAGTCCCTGCTTGTGGATTTTTAAACAGAACACAAGTGCTGACTAATGGTTTCGTATCTTGTGGTGTACATTTTCATTTCTCTTATAATGTCCTGGTCTTGCTTCAGTTCTAGGGAACAGGATAACTGGTGGGTGGTAAGGTAAGAGAACAAGTGGCATCCACTGCAATGTGCTGCTTTTTTTAAAAAAAAATGTGTTTGTAATGACCAGAAACAGCAAGTTACATGAGACTTGGCACTGCAGACTTTTTATTTTATTTTAAGCTTATCAATTGGGAATTTCCATTTATTTCCAGGATAATGCAACTGATCCTGTGCCCAGGCCTAGAGCCCAGGTGTGTGTACTTCTTGGCTGTGTGAATGACTTGGGTTTCTGTTTCATGGTTGCCTTTATTTTAATCTTTATAGTGTTTGTTATTGGTATTTATTCTATTTTAATTCCATTTGCCACCAAGTCTGAGATGTGGGGGGCATACAAAATGGATCAATAAATAAACTACAAGATAGATTCTTTAAGCTAGTGATGATATCTTTGCAGGATCAAAATTATTACTAAAGAATAAGGCTCAGATATACATATTTAATAATAGTTGAGTCATCCTGTACTTTCTTAAGTAAGTTAGGAACATATACTGTTCCTACTTGTGAATTGTATGTATATTATACCTAGTCACTTAATCTCCTCCTTCCTTTATGAAATTTTTGTTGTGCAAGAAAGGAAGTCATTTGGTCAGTGTTGCATATGCAAGGAGGAAGGAGTACAGTTCCTGATTCCTACTTCTGGAATATTTGACTTGCTGAATGAATTTTAAGCTGGGTTGGCTATTTTTGTACACAACATCTGTGAACCATTTATTTTAATGTGATGTAACAGTATCATCCTAATGTACACCTACTGAGAAGTCCTTCTTTGAGTGACATTTACTCTTGTGCAACAATGCTATATTTATCTGGATAAATAGGTTCTTAAAATATTTGATCACAACTTTCTTTCCCATTCTCTATCTTTTTTGGGGTGGGGTGGGGTGGGGTGGGTGCTACTAGTAGTATTAGTAGTATTAGATGTTTCCAATCCTTCATAGGATAGTAAATGGGAATGTTATGTAATAATAAACTGTTTATCCTATGGGGAAATTGTAAATTTGTTTATCCTATGGAGCTGCAGCTTTAATTAACCTAAAAGGGAGGGGGCAGGATAAAGAAGCAAATGTAACATTTATAAAAATTATGGCAAAAGGGAGAAAAATGTAACTTTTAATGGATCATTTCTTTTCTTTTCTTAAAAAAAATGCCTGCAGATTCTAAAGATAGGAGGGATAAGTTCTTACAAAATTGCATGAAGGTTAAGACAGGCCAAAAACCAAAATAAAGTGAGAACTATCGTGCAGTTATGAAACCTGCATATTAATCCCTGTGTGATATATAAGGGAATGGGGTAGAACCAGAACTGACTACAACCCTTACCTTTCTACAGAGAATAGCTTATGGCTTCCCAATGACTATTTATTCTGAGCAAAGCTCATTTCAAGGTGAGTCCATGTGGAAAAGTACATTGAATTAGTAGACACAATATCACAAAGGCAAGCCAGTTCTACCAACAGCCAAAGGATATTTCAGTTGGAAGATTCTGAGAAAAGCCAGGAACAGCTAGACACAGAGGTTTCAGGCTGTGCTGCACAACTTGTGTCTCCTAAATTAGCTTGTTGGATTCAGAGATAATAGTTTCAACTAACAATATGGTTTGCATTTTTTTTAAAAGCACCACAAAACTTAAACAGACACCTAAAAATATAATGAAGAGGCATTCTTGTATAAAATGATTCTTATTCACCTGATTTTCATTCATTTGCTCCTGATATGATTAGTAAAATGCTTCCTCTGTGGCTAGAAAATTGCTCTTTGATCGTAAGCCCATCTTATATCCCTCACAAACTCACACACTACCACAGGCATAACTGAGATAGTAAACAGTAACACCCTTATAATCATGCTTTTGTATATTTAAGCAAAGCTTTGTAAGAACCTAGTGCACGGGAGAAGTAAAATAATATGATGCTTGTCTCTGGTCTGTTTTAGAGATTAAGGAGCAGACAGTTTGGGAGGAAGTGTTGGATAAATTTTCATAGTTCTCAACCCTGCATATAATAAACAATCCTACTGAAAACAAATCACTTTGTGAAATTACTTTAAAGGATAATAACCTTTAAAGTAATTTAGAAAGAGTTTGTTCATTCTAAACCAAAGAATATCTCTGTTGAAAACAACAATCATGCCAAAGTAGGTGTTTTAATATGCGTGGGCATTGATTTGGATGGTGCGTTGTTTAAGCCTCTATGGAAACAGGTACTAAATTCTAAAACAGCTGGTAAATATATGAGGGATGGTTACAGTGTTCATTAACTATTGATTTTGAATATATTTCTGTCACTTGAAGCACTTCTGCTTCCTATAAGTACAAGGAACATCCTGTCTTCCTGGTCTGTAGAAAGTGTCAGTGTAATAAGTTTTCTTCTGAAGGAAATGTTAATGTCCTATTGTTATTTTGGTGTTAGGTCAGATTTTCCAAAACGGATGCCTTTCAGATGTGTTAGACTTCACTGTTCTTCTGGTGATATTTTAATCCACTTTGATCCATTGCAACTAAGGCAACCTGCCTCATTAAGAAAAAAAGGTTTCCTTCTGTCTCCATAACTAGCCATCTTTGCACCCAAACTCATTTTTTGCATGAGAGAATGATGCTGAGGATGGATGACAATTTACCAATTGATGACTCTTGTGGCATGCTACTCACTGATGGTATTTGTCAAATACATTTTTCAGTATAAATGATGCCAATCCACCCTGATAAAACTAAGATCTGAACGGCATAATTTTATCCACATCAAGGCAAAGGCCAATTCTAGAGATTCAAAAATCGACAACATTTTCCTACCAGATTGATGCCTGCCACTGTTCCTGCTGCTTGTCCCATTTTTTTCTCGGTCAGAGAAGGCAGAAATCTTATTCAATGGAGGCCATCACAATAAGAGTTGAGGCTTTTCTTTTCACCTTGGATATGGGCAGTGGTGCTCAGCTCTTATTGTGGTCTAATTTCTTGTGTGAGGAGAAATCCCCACTCTCTCTCCCGCCCCAACACAACATTCCTTGAACCACCTGCCCAGTCTAGATTACATGCTACTATTTACATAGATAAATGAATCAATTAACTGACAAAATATATATATCAGTCATTTTTTATTCATAAAGCCATCGAGGACATATACAAATAAGGTATTTAAAAGTCTGTGTCGTGACAAGGGATAAAATGGAGCAACCCAAAAATGCTTCAAATGAAAATGTAAAACCAGCTAATAAATTGCTTGGATATGAAAACATTTGCTGAACAAAAATGACTCCTTTCCTCTCTAGAAACAGAATGAGGAAGAATTAAGAGGGAGTTCCATAATCAAAGGTTGCCTTCATGCCTACCAATTAGCCTAATTTTATACATTTTTGTACTGTATACAAATGACTAAGGACAGATATACTAATTTTCAGCAGTAAAGCTATCAAGAGTTAAAAATGAGGCAGTTGTCTTAAACAGCAAATTTTAAACACCGACATGTGTTCAAAATCATTATTTATTATTCTGATAAACTTTATTTTTAGAGCCAAGGAGGGGAAAAGGTGCTTGTGAGATTTTCTGTGGTATGTGTCAAAAATATTTGTTGGGTTAGGGAAGCAACAAAATAACTTGGCAGCTCTGGCAGGCTTTAAATATTTCACTTTGAACTCAACCGAATGTGGCATCTACCTGTGGGGCCAAAGAGGGTCAAGGAAGCAACAGTGACTAAAGAAGTAGCAGCAGCAACAACAAAAACTTTGTTTCCCCAAGTTTGAATCACACTGGCTCAGAATAAATGAATTCAGTCTCACAAGCCACTGTGATACGTGTTAGATATAGTAAATCCCACCCCTTTCGTGCTTACCAGAGATGCACACAGAAATTTTCTGAATATCTTTATTGCTCTGTTCTTCTTCTTCTTCTTCCTCTTCTTCTTCTTGTTCTTCAACGATAGGCACCAGTCATGCACAGGACAAGAAAGTCCCAGATGCCAGTGACTTTATTTCAGCCTACCAGGCTGTCTGATGCAACAATATCTGCCTTGACCACAATGTACCCTTGCATTATTTCCTTTTCCTGCTCTTAGTCCCTTCTCATGTTTCTCCATCAGTTTAGGCCCCTAATAGGGAAAGGATGAGCCCATTGATGTTGGCGCATGGAAGCCTGCTAGTGACATGCCTTTGGGTTGAGTCGCCTAGCAGCAGCCATTCGTGTTATGTGGGCTTTCTTTTTGGGGGGCATCGCCCACCCCTGAAACTGACTTCAGGCATTTTTCACTGCCGGTTCTGCATGAATAGCCACAGGCCTCTTGCCAATTGTCCCCCCAGCTTGAAAGCCAGCCTCAGCCAAAGACCTTTTCAAGTGTGATCCCAAAGTGCCACACAGGCTTTCAGGGCATTGTTGTCAAGATGAGGGCCCTGCACTGGAAAGTGAGGTCAGAAGAGAAAGCACAATGAAGGGTGATGGAGGCTTCATGCAGTCCTCAGATGCCCGCCTGTTTATTAATTTACAAAACTAATGTCACTATCTTTAGAGGAGAGATGGAGTGAAAAAACTGCCCTTTGAAAAAAAGGTCACCCTATGATGCTGATTTTTTTGGTGGGGGCGGGAAGAGAGGCAAATAAAACTAAAGTCTAAAAAAATAAAAATAAAGCAAAGGAATCACGATAAAATATTGAAGGGTCGGATGCTACTCAGAATATAGTAGTTACAGAAATATTGCTTTCCATCCCTTTACAGCACAGGTCCCCAAACTTGGCAGCTTTAAGACTTGTGGACTTCAACTCCCAGAAAACATAGCTGGCTGGAGAATTCTGGGAGTTGAAGTCCATGAGTCTTAAAGTTGCCAAGTTTGGAGACCTCTGCTTTACAGAATAATTCCAGCTTTATAAGAAGTATTTAATCCAAACCCCAGCTAACTGCTTTGAGTAATTATAATAGATCTTCCCTTGTCCAGGAGGCATAGCCAAAAGCGTACATAGCGAAATTTCTCACTGTAGAGAAAAATTGCCAATTGCAGTGTAGAATCTGTTGGTTTATATTTAAAACAAACAAACATTCACCCTGGATGCATCAGTAACAAGCAAACGAAGATGGATTTTAAAAAGAGAGTTCTCCTGCCGTCCAGTTACAGTTGTGGAACATGGTCTGCAGGCTTTCTGTAACTAGTAGGATTCTTCCGTAACTAAGAAAGAAGAGCATGGCAATACTAAATTTTGGGTCAATGCGTTTTTTTTTTTAATTTTGTGGTAGCCGATCGGATCCCCTCGACAACGATAGACTGTAAAGTCTATCATCCTCAGTTAGGCTTTCAACTGAGAAATACATAAATTTTACATAAATCCTATGTAAAAAACTGCTTATCAAGTGATTTGGTTGAATTTGCTGTGTGTGTCACAAATTCTTTGCTTTATTGTTTCTCTCCTGATGCTGAACTTTTGCCTTCTTCTCCGGCTGAGATAGGTCCATGGAATTTAAGAACATAAAACCTGAAGGGTCAGGCCAAAAACCCATCTGGCCCAGCCTTCTGTATTATGCTGTGGCCAATAGAGGCATCTGGGAAACTGGGAAAGTAGGATATGAGGGCTTTTTCGACTATTGCTCCCTAGCAACTGGTATTTAGGACAGGCTGCCTTTGACTCTGGAGATAGTTTACAGCAATCAAGACTTATAGCTATTGACAACCCAATCCCCCAAACATTTGCCCTGTCCTCCTTTGAAAACTATCTAAATTGGAGGCTATCGCCATATCAGGTGGAAGTGAATTATGCAGTTTAATTACACACGGTGTAAAGAAACACTTCCTTTTATCAGTCCTAAATTTCTGAGGTCCCGAAACCAACATATTCTTCTTTGTTTACTCCTTTACCATCCCTTCCAGTTCAAGTATTTAACATGCTGCCCTGTGAAATAATCTCTTTTTATTTTTATTTAGAAATGATAATTCAGCAGCAATTTGGACAAAAATATAGGCTGGATATTCTTGCAATGTACTGTATGTAGTGAAGTTATTCTCTCAGTATCAATTATAGCCCAAGGACACCAACCCCGTTGGGGAGACTGAGGTACTAAGCTTAGAGGAACCTGCTAATAGAGTAATTGCAACTCAGCTATTTTTTTATTTAATGGTGAAACAAACAAACAAAAAACCCAAAAGATAAAAACAAACAAAAAAGCAAATACCACTCTACAGCACCAATATTGTAGAAAACATTATTATATGTTTTTCCCCCTTTACCTTGCTATTTAAAAGTCAGGGCATGATAATATTATTTCACTCTTTGTCCTGTTTTCAGTCAGTTATGATTATAGTTGTGAGTAGAACGATACATTCCATAAACCAAATACAGGGAATCCTCATCTTTTGACCACAATTGAGCCCAAAATTTCTGTTGCTAAGTTAGACAGTTGTTAAGTGAGTTTTGCCTCATTTTACAACCTTTCTGGCCATAATTGCTAAGTGAATCACTGCAGTTGTTAAGGTAGTAACATGATTGTTAAGTGAATCTGGTTTCCACAGTTACTTTTCTTGTTCGAAGGTCACAAAAGGTGATCATATGACCCCAGGACATGGCAACCAATTTAAATATGCATCAATTGTCAAGCGTGTTAATTTTGATCACGTGACCATGGGGATGCTGCAGCAGTCATAAGTTTGACAAATGGCGAAAAGTCACTTTTTCAGTGCTGTTATAACTTCAAATGGTCACTTAGCAAACTACTGTAAGTCGAGGAGTACCTGTAATAAAGAGGGAATGGCAAAGAATTTTTTTATGATGGCTTTCATGTATGGAATCCTCACCGATAGATCTCTAAGGATGGTTGGTAAATTTGTCACATGACCATTTTTACACAAGAAATATAACATTGGTTCAGTCCTTCATAATATATTGCTGAATTTGAGAAAGCCAAACCTGACGGTTTCCAGAATGTGGTTCACAGCTCTGAAAATATGGTGAAAATGCAAACATTATGAAAAATATCTAGCAAAAAATGTGTATTCTAGAGAGAAAAAAGTTTTGTACCAAATTACAGTTTCCAGTGGAAAAAAAATTGCATGCAAGAAATACCAAGGACCCAAAGTGTGGTCACCTGACTGTGAGAGCTGTCTGCAGGGGTGGGATTCAAATTTTGTAACAACCGGTTCTTTGGGCGTGGCTAGGTTGGCATTGCTAGGTGAGTGGGGGGGGGGGTGGGGGGGGGGGGTTTCTTTTTTTTGTGGGGGCAGCATCTTCCCCATTTTGGGGGCTTTTGGGGCCTTCTGGGCCTCAGGGAAACCTCCTGGGGGACTGTTTTTGCTCCCAGAAGGCTCCCCTGAGGCCCAGGAAGGCAAAAAATGGGGGAGGGGGCTGCGCCCCCTCCATTTTTTTGCCTTCCTGGGCCTCAGCGAAGCCTCCTGGGTGAAACAGTAAATAAGTGAGGGGAATCCCAGCACAGCTGATCATAGGAACAGCTGATCGTCAGAGGGGAAAAAAAGAAATACCTTGAGGAGTGACTGGGCGGGGAAGAACGCAGTCAGCGATGTTGGGCATGCATGCAATGTTGGGCATGCACACAATATTGCTCAGGCGCAATAAGGACTGACGGGGCGGGGGGGGGAGGGGGGGGTGGAGGGGGGCGGGGCCAGCCAGGACATGATTTTCTGTTTCTCTGAACTGTGCAGAATCATAACAACCAAATCTATAGAACCGGTCCAAACTGGTAGAATCCAACCCCTGGCTGTCTGACTATCAGAACTTTGACTCTGGACCATAAGTACTCCCCAAAGAGGTCCACTGGAACTTTCAGTCATAAGTTGAGGACTACCTGTATTAGACCATTGGATTATATGTCACATGAAATGAGAATCAAATTCTTGGTTCTGTTGATTCTTACCTTTTATCTTACACTTGTGGAGTCAAGGGCTGCATGCTTGTCACTGACCTCTGCATAACTTAATTCAACAGAGGTCTATAGAAAATGGCATATTAAGAACTTCCACCAACATGACATTTTCTCTGGTGCTCATATTCCTCCCCATCTGCTTTGGAGGATCTTCCAACTTTAAAATTTTTTACTACAAGTTCTGTGGGTGTGGTGGGCATGGCAGGGGAAGGATACAGCAAAATCTCCATTCCCTCCACACTCTTGGGGAAAGGTTACTGCAAAATCCCATTCCCTCCCCACCCTACCCCACTAACCTGCTTTCCAGATCCATTCTTTGCTGCAGGACAACAAAAGAAAACACAGCTGATCAGCTAGGACTCGGGAGGCAGAGAATAGATGGGGGCGGGGCCAGTCAGAGGTGATTTTTGCCGGTTCTCTGAACTACTCAACATTTCCCCTATTAGTTCTCCAGAACTGGTCAGAACCTGCTGAATACCACCTCTGTTCCAACTCTTCAAAGCAAATGTTATGTGAATGTACAGAAAAGCATAAAGAGGAAGGAATCTAATCTGTCTGTGGAAGCTGCTATGCCAAAGAGCAGGCACACTTTGACATTATTGCTAGATAAAACAGTTCTTGGATGCATATTTAAAAGCTTATCTCACTGAACATTTATAGGATTGCATATAAAACTGCAATACACTGCAATGCAACTGGATTCTTAATTTATATAAAGGAAAATTATTACTACACAATCAGAACCTTCCCCACAATAAGTCATTTTGGGAACTGGTTCTGAGAAATGGTGAAGAAACAACTGATATAAATATCCAGTTGATCACATGCTATGACTTAGAGGGATATTTAAAGTGCTCTATGAATGTAACTTGGAACTTGCTAAGGATTTTCTGATTGTAGCAAAAATAACTATGGATTTAATCCAAAGAACATAAGCAGAGAGAAAATGCATTTGTGTGGTTTTATGAATTCTTGTGCAAGAGCTTTCAGATGATTTCTTGTAATTACAATGCCACAATATATCAGCCGTTGTGTTACGTTATAAAAAACAGTGAGTAAGGAAAATAATGTTCACTATACTACTGAGAAACCTCTAGACTATTTATAGAAAATCTACTAGGATTTCTAACTCATTTTTTTTACCATATCAAAGAAAACTTCTTCAATGCTGAAATATTCCCAGATAGATATTAATGAACAAGGATTGCAAATTCTGCTTGGAAACTTAATACTATTTCATGGATTCAATCTATTTCTTTGCATTGTTTTGAAATTTAATATAATAATATTGACATCAGGAATATATTAACTCTTCCTGTAGTCCACTGCATACATTTTAAACTTCCAGATCTCAAATGTAGAACATCTTATACCCTACTTTCTTTGTTAGAAAATTTAAAATCTACTGGAGAATGTCAACATTACAATCAACATGATTGTCACCCATTCTTAATCCTGAAACAAGCTTTTTCCATGAAGAAAGTTGTATTAATATAAATTCTGGCATTTTGTCTGTCCTGCCCAACCTATCGTGACTGGCAGAAGTCCTCCAGGGTCTCATCTTTCCATTTTGAATTGGAAAATAATGAGGATTGAACTTAGGACCTTTTACATCAAAAGGGCATGTTCTGGCATAGAGGTTTGGACCTTTCATGATTAGGAATCTCAACAGAACCAATGTGTTTGCTGGTCAACCTGATATTCTTCAGCTTGTCAGGGCTAATCTGATCTCCTTGACTTGTTATGAGTAATAAAAATTGAGCTAAAAATTCTCATGAGAACATGCCTTCTCAAGTTATTTTGGCCTGTCTGCTTTTAGGCCCAATTGTAAAGCAAAACAGGAAGTGCAGAAGTATGCTAAAAGGAGTTTACTAATTCTGAATGGAATAAACTCTATCCCAGAGAGATGATCCCAATGAAAACACAATGCAATAGTCCTTGCTTTTATTTATAAGCTTATTGTGTTGGAGATTTTTGTCTTTTCTGCTCTGCAGGTACGACAAACAGACTTTTGATTCACAAAGATTTTAGCAATGATTAACTCCTAGCAATAGTTCACTAGAGGATTCCATCTCCCCTTCTGAAATCTGCCTGAAAGCAAGGTAGAAAGCATTGCAGAAGTGGGAGGTAGTTTTTGGACTTTCAAGAACTCTGAAGAAGCTATGCTGGAAATGCGCTGTTTTGATCATTCCAGGTTTTTGGCATGCTAGAAAAAATGTGCTAGATATTGATTTTAAAGAGACAAAGGCCTTTTCCTTTTGCAAAGTGGTTATACATTCCCCCTGATGCTTTCATTTCAGTGAAGCTGATTTTAGTACCAAAAGCAGTAGAAAAAGGAAGAAAAATACTGCTAAATTTGTTGTCATGACAAAAGGGGGAAAAAGAGATCTACATCTATGTTCATGATAAGAGGTTTGATTAATCCTTCCAAAATTTATTATTGTATCTAGTTCTTCACATTTTATACCCTCTTAAGATACATGGGCATTTGGGTAGTTAATACTTTAATCTAAAAAGTACATTTGTAATGGCTCATCCATATCAAAATACCACTCTTACTGGGAGTAGCTATACTTCTTAGAGCAGGTATAGCTCTGGTCTATGGACCAGCCCAGTCCATAGCATGCCAGAAACCAGGCCACACAAACAAGTTAAGCCCCGGGACTTCTGGTTTGTTCATTGTCGGAGGTGGAGCAGAATCTGCGATTGTGCATGGTTTCACCCCGAGCTCACTTGCTGGAAAGTCTCATTTGGGACCAGAACTACCCTGGAGGGATGGTGAAGAAGGGGGAAATCTCCTAGAGGGTTAAGGAGAGCCACAACTCCCCTCCCTGACAGGAAAAACCCCTCCCAAAGGCAAGCTGCAGCAGTGGTCCTAAAATGGCCATCATGAAGACGACAAAAAGTCCGGGAAACTAAGACTGTGCTGGAGCAGAGAAGCAGCAAGCAGAGTGTGAACCAGGCAAAATACATGGATTTTGAGGTACCCCGGTATTAAAAAATAAAGGACTATTTTGGAGGAAAGTGTGTGCGAAAGTGAAGCGGTGACCAGAGAAAGTGAGAAGGAAATTAGATTTTATAAAATTGGTTTGAATTATTGTATTGGATTAAATGGGAGGAGAAAATTTAAAGGAAAATATTTGAGCACAACAAAGGTTTAGAAATTAAACTGGACAACTATTGGACTATTGGCACTTAAAGGGCATAACAAAATGCTGAAACTGAGTGTATTGAAAAGAAAAGAAATAATAATAGCTAATGATTGAAATTAGCAAACTTAATAAAAGTACTATATTTAACAAAGAAAGTTAAATTTAAGGAAGGACTGGATTGTGGAAAAGACTCAGGAGCGCCACCTGATGGTACAGGAAAAATTTCAGTGACCCTTTAAAAGTGCTTGGTCTTTCTAAGAAATTGGACTTTGGAACTTAAAAAAAATAAAAGAAACTCCATTATAGTAAAATAAAAATCCTGTAAAGGGAAATCAGAATATGACAAAGGGGAAGATATTTGAAAATATTGTCATAGAACCACCCGGTGACTGTGGGAAACAGTTGGGAAAGGACCAATTAGAAGACCTGGAACAAAGACTTAAGGACATTGATTGTTGAAAATAAACTTATCCACTAAGGAAGAGGAATACATCTATTAAAGAAGAGGAAAGAAAAGGAAAAAAGAAAAAGATATAATGGAGGACTTATTTGTTGAAATAAGATTGGACTTGCAAGATATAAGAGAAATGATGAAAATTAAAACTTGAAATGTGCAATTACATATTACAGAAATTAGAAATGGTGACTCAGCTTGTAGAAGAACAAAGTAAACCAGAGGGGGAGGAGTTTAACAAAGAAGAAGCCAGCTTTGAAGAACAAAGGGAGCAACAATTATCTAAGGGGTGGGGGAGGAGTTAAAATTAAAAATGTGTGGTCTGATGTGACAACAAAAGGGAGAATGGTTTGGAAAATGAAGAAAAGGAGAGGAAAAATCAGAAAAGGGAAGTACAAAAGAATAATTGAAAGAGGGAGGGAGATAAACTTAATAATTGGAATGAGGAATGGAGGGGAATAAGAATGGGGGAAAAGGGAATTAAGAGAAAGGACCAGAAAATAAAGAGAAACAGGAAGCAAACAAGGATGAAAACAAATTACATTGTTAAAAGAGCGAGAGATAATGGATGAAAATAAAGACAGGGAAGGAGATTCTGCAAGGTAATATGTTGTGATATATAAGAATAAGTACTGAAAATAGGTAAGTATGTAACTGATATGGGGGATTTTTAGTGTCCTTTTCTTCTCTTTTTTTATTAAATAATCATCACTACATTAGACATGGAACCTAATGAAATAAATATGGAATTGGGAACTTATAATAGGAATATTATATATTAATTGATGATTAGCGATGTATAAGAAAAGGGGGAAAAGATGAAATGAGAACCATTATGGAAAGATTAATATCAGTTGCTATAATTAATTGATTGGATTAATACTTTTGTAATGTATAGATGACTTATAGGTGATTGAGAAAATGTAATGCGGAATCATATATATATATATATATATATAAATATATATATATATATATATAATTATATGTGTGTGTGTGTGTGTGTGTGTGTGTGTGTGTGTGTGTGTGTGTGTGTGTGTGTGTTCTGCCTCTCCTTTTCTCTTTCCGAAAAGATGAAAGAGTACACATGCACACAAACACAGGCAGGCAAGCTGGCTTGGACTTCACAGAGTTAATTCTTTGGAACTGATAATATTCTTGGCATTCCACCACGTCCTGCCTGCCAAGTCCAAACTGTTAGCAAATAAAATTTTACTCACAGAAAATCACAAGGCAGTCCACAAAGAAAATCTGAAGTAAGGTTAACCTTTGTCCCATACAAAGTTTCAGGAGAAAACACACCCACTTTTATCCCCTGTGGGGTGTGGCTCAATGACTCAGCTCACTCTCTGACCCTCCCACGCCTACTACGTTGCTGCTCACGTTTCTCCCTACGACGCTGCTTAGGATCGAGCCAACACTCTTCCCCTTTACTCCCTGTCAGTGGCTGTTCCGATATGCCTTCCTCCTGATTAATCTCAGGCTGTTCCTCTCATCTGTGACGAACACAGTACAGAAGCCTGATGATGGCAGATGAGATTCTGCCGAAACGTTGCTACAACTTTAAAAGCACTACTATAATGACATGGGAAAATACCCAAACAAAGCTTAATACCACACATGTAAGTACCCGCGAAAACTTAAGAACACACACACACACACATATATATATTTGTGATATATAGTAAATAGGGAGATTGGTAATAAGGTAGAATGAAGGTGGCTAGCTCAAATTATTAACCAGAGGGGACAATTTTGAATTAATAAAATAAGGATTGATAAAATTGCAAATGTGACAGAAAAAGGTAATATGGGAAATGAACATAGAACTCTTAGATAACATTGTAAAATAAGTTATGAGAATATCCTAAGAAAAATGAAACAAGTTATAAGATGCATTGGGATTGGATAAGTTTAATATTTAATACTAATAAGGATAATTTCATATGAAATTGAATAAATAAAATGAATAGGTAACTATGGTCATGTTTATATTGAGATGTGAAACCTGGAATCATACTGCTTGACAAATGAGAATTTTTTCATTAAAAAAAACAACAAAAACGAATTGGAGAGGAAATTGAATAATGAAATTACTAGGTGTGTTTAACTGATATGGTGGCTGGCATTAAGATAGTATTGAAATATTGACAATAAACAATGAAGGACTATGATTGTATGATATATCGATGCCACACTGTTAATGTATTGTGTATGTAGATTGAAATAAAAAAAACTTGATTAAAAAAAACAAGTTAAGCCCCATCTGCGGAATTCAGGCACCATGTGAAATCACTCCCCTTCTGGTCCATAGAAAAACCTCTCTCCATGGAACAGGTCCCTAGTGCTCAAAAGGTTGGGGGCCACTGTCTTAGAGTTTCTGACTGAGATCTCTGGGTAACCATTTTCTTAATTTGTTATCCAGGTATTGCTAAACAAAAGACAGGTTGCCCACAACTCCAAATTTGCAAGTTGCAAGAAGAATCTCAGTTGAAGTTTAGCATGTCCTATCAAGTATAACCTTGGGAACCTGTTAATTTCCACAGAAGTAATTTTCTACCAATAATTATATGCCCTAATTTTGAATAAGTACGAAGTATACTTATTCCCAACTCAGCACTAAATAAAGCATCTAGAGTTCTTTTACCCATACCCATACTCTCCAATTTACAGGATTGTGTTAAAGTGATACATAGTACATAGGCGTACCATAAGAACTGTCAACAATCTAACCCAATGGTCCCTAACCTTTCCAGCTTTGCAGACCAGTGATGGTGGCAGTGGAAGTGGGATGGAGGGGTTTTTGCATGTGTGTGCACCACTTGCACAAATGCAACTTTGCGCATTTGCACCCTTGCTTGCTGCTTGTGTGGTCCGGTGCACAACAGGCCATGGCTGGGTACCAGGCCCTGGACCGAAGATGGGGAACCCCGATCTAGACAACAAGACTTGTCTAAAGGCTTTATTGTTGACAGGGAGCATTTTTAATGATATTTGTTACTATGACTTTTTTTTATTTGCAGTGCTGTTTTTGTATTTTCTGTTTTTATCTATTATTGTGCGCTGCACAGAGTTGCCTTCAGTGGAATGGATAGTAAATAAATGCGTCAAGCTCCATATTTCAGACCCATATAAGAAATCCAGTGTTGCTATAACTTGTACAGCTTGATAATTGGAATTGAGGCTCCAGGTGGCATTGATTCACAAACAGCCAATTCATATGTGCCATCACTCTTGAGGGAGCCTTGCCCAGATTCAGAAAACAGTACCCCCCAAGTATGGAAAGGTGATACCTTGCTCTATTGGCTCACCATCTGAAAACTATCTGTGTTTGTTATGTCTTTTTCTAAAAACTGGAACCTTTGACTTAAGCATATTAATCAGACTATTACCACGACAATAGAAGCCAAATCTACTTAACAAGCAACACAGTCGAACTTGAGAATATGTTAACAAAATCATGTCATCAGCATAAAGCAAAGTATTAAAATGCATGTTAACTACTTTTAGCATACAGATCTTTAATCAGTCCTGGTATATCTTTGATATATAGACTGATTAATATCCATGGAAATATGCACCCCTGCCTTTATTTGTATTAATCCTACTTGTCATAGCTCTTTTGGTGCCAAACTACACTCTCAGACATGGGTTTCTATAGAAGCTTTGATCAGTGCAAGTAATTTGGGCTACCTTTTTGAGACTGGTCAGTTTCCTCAAAATTCCTCTAGTATATTAGTGCTGCATCGAGGTCTATAAAAGCAGGGAATAATTGTTTCCCATTGTTAATATATTTAGGAATTAGTTGATTCAGAACAAAACTAATACAGCTGATGATAATTGAATGATGTTGTCTTCAATCACATTGCCATTCTTCTAGAACACAATTTTCTATCACCTAACTCTATCATCCAACTTTCTCAATTCTGTGGAGAAACCTGACATATATTCATCTAGCTACAATATATATTAAGCTAATAGATCTATAGTTGTTAGGAATTTTTTGCACTACAATCAGATTGAAATCCCATAGGCCAGCATGGAAAACAGCTATTCATTTAACATCTAGCCAATTTAACCCCAAAAATGCCTGGTGGGAGAAATGGTCCAAGATAGCTTCTTGTGGCCTCTACCAAAGGGAGATTCCACCTACCAAACCACCTGGTTTTGACCTGCCTCACTCTGTCTGATCTAAATTTAACAGAATTAGGTGTGATACTGGAGGAAGTATCTCTGATCTGTATCAGTGGGGATGAAAAAATTCTCCTTGTTGCAGTGATGGCGCTGATATGCAAGCTATTAAGCATATTGTGCAAGATTGCCCATGACATACATTCTCTGGTTCCTTAGAAGATCTTCATGAAGCAACACCAAAAGCAATCTCCTGGATAGCTGAATTGGACATCCAGTTATGAGGTCACTGCCATACCCCCATAGACATTTTGTACAAAATTATGTGGTTTGTGTGTATATGTTTACTTCTCTTCTGTCATGTTCTCATCATGCACTAAATAATAATAAATAATAACAAATAATAACTGCAATCACACTCTTCCACCCAACTGTGGCAGCAACTGTTATTTTCAGTATGCTTGTCAATCAGAGGTCCACCAAGAGTTTGCCTATTACACTTCATGTGATGGAGAACACTGAGAGTTGGCTTAAAAAGGAAATGATGCTGCTGTCCCAATGTACAAGAATTGTATCAGCACATTTAAAGATAAAAGCCGTAGAATGGATTTCACTTGATAAAAAGCATCCAAGAAAAAGACCTAAAACAAGATGGATCAACATCAGCGAGTATTGCAGGCCCAATTGGCAAAAGGAAAGCTCAGGGCCGTATTGGTTGGAAACATGTGGAAGAGGCCTTCATTCTGCAGTGGATGGGACAATGGCTAAAATGATACTGATAATGATTTAAAGATAAAATAATGTTACAGAAGAATGCAGCAGCCAAGTTCCACAAAGCATGTCAAGGACCAAATCCAAAAAGGAAGAAACATGGTGAAATATTCAGGGATTTTTTGCAAAAATTAATTGGAGGCCTGTACCCCCTATAGCCAAATGAATAGAAACTCTCAGGATCTGTGATGATTTTAACATTATTGTCACTATTATAGGTGCATTTTTGTTGACCTCAAATGAAGTTTTACAAAAAAACCATTCATATAATATTGTAAAAATATGAATTATAGTTATTATAGCTATATTACAGTCTGTATCTTAGCAATGACAGGTGTGGTAGGTTATTGTTAGGGATTGGTTAATCACATCTATGATCTTATATTGTTAAGTCAATTATCTTGGGCTGAATATGTTGAACTAGATCAGAGGTATCAAACTCATGCTGGTGTCACAGTGACATCACGTGACGTAGCGGGACTTTTTCCCCCTTCGCTAAACCAGGTGTGGGCGTGGCCAGCACATGACACATCCGGCTGAGAGTTTGACAGCTCTAAACTAGGCGATCTTCCCAGTTCCATGATTTTATGTTGTGGAACCTGCTCCTGATACCCACATTTTTTGATCGATCAGTACAAAAAGCACACTATTTGCTAATACTTTTCTTGAGGTCTTTGATTATTAAGGAAAACATGCTTGAAGTATAAAACTAATAGTGCCCATAGGACTTGTTTTTCCATTGCAGTCCTATAAATTGTATGAAAAAACTTCAACACTGTTGTAGATATAAGAAAATTAAATACATCTGAATTAAACGTTTATATAGACATACATACATACATACATACATACGTACGTACGTACATACATACATACATACATACATACATATATTTGAACGAGACATAGTATTTAGCACCCAGCTGCTTTGTGGGAGGGGGCCCAAAAATTCTTTGATTTGGTCTGAAACCAGAGCTACTGGCTTAGTATACTTGAAAATCCTTCTTCTGTCCCAACCATTCAAGTTGTTTCCATAAGACATTTGAGACCCTGATTCTCCCTCCCCCCCTTTTAAAAGTCTCTGGAATGTAGATATTTTGGTTAATTTTCTCCAGCTGTCACAGAGTCTCATATGAAATTGACCTCATGGAATGACCACTTCCCAAGCCCTTGATTTAAGTATGTTTTTTTTTAAGCTTTCATCACATCATCCCCATTTCTGTGTCTGAGACTGTAAACTAATCTGTGGATATGCGTTTGTATATTTATTCTTACTTTTAGGCTTACTTTTAATCACATTTATTAGTGTGTGTGTGTGAGAGAGAGAGTGTGTCATATTAACAGAATAAGAGAAGAGACCTCGGAGATCATCTAGATCAACCCACTGCTCAGGCAGGTAACCTTATGCCATTTTAGACAAATGGTTGCCCAATTTCTGAAATTGTATATGAATCAATATTGATTCAGCTGGTTTAAATACGTGGAGATATA